TTCGAGGGCCAGCGCCGCTGGCAGCGCCGCCGCGGCCAGGAAGTTCAAGGGGGGGGCAGGGGCGAGGCGATGGAGGGCGAGCACGAGCTGGACGGCGCGACGGCGGCGATGCAGTCACTACTGGCGCAACTCGAAGGCCGAGTTCGCACGCTGGAAAACGAGGTGCACCGCGCCGTGCTCATAATCAAGAAGCCGCCCATCGCGAAGGCCATCAGCGACAGCTTCCAGGCGCGCGCGACGAAAAGGATGACGGAGGAGGAGGGAGAAAGACATAGGCACGCCAGTGTTCCACTGCCTTTTCGGAGCTCTCGACGCGATCTTGAACTTCGAGCACAAGGACGGGCCCCCGAGGACGGCGCGCGCTCTGGAAGCACTCAGGCGACGCAAGGAGATGCCAGAGGCAAGCGCACCTCAGGGCGCAGAGACATGGATCCGAGAGCTACTGGCGCTGCCGACTTTCGACAAGCCTGGGAAGGAGAGCAAGGCCCGCGTTATGTTCAGCTTCCAAGGCGAGGTGCTACCCCCGAAGGATCAGAGCCAGAACGAGGCGCTGGGGAAAGCCATCAAGGACAAGACTCACGAGCTTCACAGCCTCAGCCCGACGAAGCGCTCCACCGAGATGTTGCGCATGAAGGGCGCGCCCGCGCCCGTGGAGACGGTCTTCGCAGAGGCGCCCAGGAGCCCCGGCGGGCAGCTACTTGGAGGACGGGCTCCGAGAAGGAACATGGCGAGGCATATTGGAGGTGGAGCACGGGGAGGTAAACGTTGAAACCCTAGCGGCGCCAGGTTCGCGTCGCCGCACAGGGCCGTCGGGAGGCGAGGTGCCCCCCCCGCCCCCCCGCGAGATGCTCGCTGCCCCGTGGGTGTTGATGGGGAGGGGCGGCACAAATTTGCTCGGGCGCAACATTCATCCGTGCAGTGTACGTTCTCTCTTGTCTGCAAGTACGACGTAGGGACGTACTCCACACCCAGCCCTGATGCCAATGACTTCATCGGACACCACTCCTTCATGATAGTGCTGGAGCTGACGGGCTGCGGGAACGCCGCAGACTTCTCCTACTCGTTCGCGTTGAGCTGGGACATCGCGAGGCGAGTGGCTTGCTGCCTCGTGCCGCACCCCCGCGTTGGCCCCAGGCTGCGGGCATCAGCCCTTGCAGGCAGGCAGACACCAGAGAAGGGGGCGTTATATACGTGTATACAGCCCTGCCCAGGGCCGGCTGTCCAGAGAGTGTTCAGAGGATCGGACCTGAAGGGGGGGAGAGAGAAAGAGAGAGAGAGAGAGGAAAAACAAAGAAAGAGACAGATACATAAAAAACAACAGACAAAAGAACAACTCCTTCTCCTCCTCCTCCTCCTCCTCCTCCTCCTCCTCCTCCTCCTCCTCCCCCTCCTCCTCCTCCTCCTCCTCCTCCTCCTCCTCCTCCTCCTCCTCCTCTTGCTCCACCTTCCGCGCCCTTCACTCCTCACTCCTCCCGCGCTCCCTCTTCGCCTCCTCTCGCTCACCCCTCGTCGCTCCTCCTTATTTTTTTCCTCACTGTTCCATCCCTCTGCCTTCTAGATAATTCTGTCCTGTCGCACCGCGAGACATGTCGTTAGGGCGCGCTGAGCGTTTCGCACGCGACCCCTTCACAACTAAGTTCTCGATCGCTCGAAGCGTGAAGTTTCCAACAGTTACACTGATGGAGCTCATGTCGGTAACAGATTGGGCTCTCGCCGAACCGCAGTACACTCGTCTTACTCTAGCGCACAGACGAACGGCGGGCCATTTCCAAGATGATTGTTTCGCCTTGGCGCCGCGCACACTCGCCGTACAAATATCCAACAAGCGCACGGACGGAGAGCGGATCATGCTCAATCGTGCGAGGTTGTCGCTTAAGCGTCGCGCTCACTCGTCCTGCAACACTTGAACAGCTCGTCGTGAAGTCTCGCGCGCAGTCGTTGCACGAATGGAGGGCGGCTCGTTTTCAAAACGGGGTTCCCGCTTGATCTGCATACGAAGTTCAAAAGCGCGCAACAGTTGCACACGTGGAGGGCGGTTCCATGTAATAATGGGGACGATGCTTGAAACATCCGAGGACTTTATGGCAATGACGGTGAGCTTGTACCGCACTTGCTGGCACGGATGGATGACAGACCATTTTCAAAACGGAATTTGGACAGCGCATTGCACTGAGTGACCAATTTTCTTAGCAGCTCTTACAGCCAGAAGGACGCACGGTGGATCCTTTACTAAAACCGGGCTTCGGCTAAACGGCAGGCCCACGGGGACGTTCGTCTGTCAAGGAGGGGTGCCTCCCGCAGCGGAGAGGAATGCTCGTGAGGGCCTCTGAGGAGATGGCCTGGGACGGCACGGCGCATTGCAGCATCGCTGGCACATTTTGGGTTTACTCAGCTCTTCGCTGCTCCTCGCTGCTCCTCGCTGCTCCTCCTCCTCCTTCTCCTCCTCCTCCTCCTCGCTGCTCCTCGCTGCTCCTCCTCCTCTTCCTCCTCCTCCTCCTCCTCCTCCTCCTCCTCCTCCTCCTCTCCTCGTTCCTCCTCGCCTTCCCTCCCAATCCTCCTCGCTCCCCCTCCCTCCTCGCTCTTCGCCGCCCCTCCCTCCCCCCTCGTCCTCTTCGCTCTCCCCCCCTTCTCGCCCCTCCCCCCCGCCCCCCCGCCGCCCGCGAGCCCGTGCAACTCGCCGGCGAGCGCCGCGCCGGCGGCGGGCTCGCCGGCCCCGCCGTCGTCGGCCTCCTCGCCCCCGCTGGCGGTGTCGGCCGACGGAGGCCCCCAGGGGGGGCGGCGCGCCGGGTGCCATTCCGCGAGGCTGCTTGCGGTGTTCCTCGGGCCGCTTCCACTCCTCCGTCTGCTTCCTCTTCTTCCTCCTCCTCCTCCTGCTCCCCCTTCTTCATCATCATCATCATCATCATCATCATCATCATCATCATCATCATCACCACCACCACCACCACCACCACCATCATCATCATCATCATCATCATCATCATCATCATCATCGTCATCGTCGTCATCCTCATCCTCATCCTCATCCTTATCCTCATTCTCGTCAGCATCATCATCAGCAGCATCATCGTCATCATCATCGTCATTCATTGTCATCGTCATCGTGCACCCCTGGCCAGCCACGGGATCATGATAGCTAGTGGCGTGTACTCCTACGAGAATGTCTTAATTGCCTAGACAGCCGTCTTGTCCGGCAAGCTGCACAGAGCACAGATGTGGCAGTGTATATATAAGTGTGTGTATATATATATGTATATATATCGTCATCGTCATCGTCGTCATTATCGTCATCAACAACATCATCAGCATCATAATGAATCGTGTGATCATAATTCGCACCATCATCAGCACCATCATGGTCATCAGCAGCAGCATCAGCATCAGCATAAGCATCCTCAACATCGTCATCGTCATCGTTTGCGTCATCGGAATCGTCATCACCGTCAGCAGCAGCATCATCAACATCTTATTCATCATTATCACCATCATCATTGTCATTATCAATAACAGTATCATCAGCATCAGCGTCAGCGTCACCATCATCATCGTCGTCATCATCATCACCTGACGCCACGTAATCATCATCATCATCATCATCATCATCATCATCAGCATCACCATTATCATCATCATCGTCGTCTTCATCAGCATCAGCATCGTCGTCGTCATCGTCGTCATCATCATCACCCTCATTGTCGTCATCATAACCAGCATCTTCATCATCATCCTCATCAGCATCATCATAACCATCACCAGCACCACCATCGGTATCCTTATCCTTACGCTCATCATCATCATCATCGTCATGCTACGCATTAGCCTGGTCATCATTTGCATCAGAATAATCATCAGCAGCATCATCGTCAGCATCATCAGCATCAGCATCATCGTCGTCGTCGTCGGCGTCGTCACTCTCATCCTGATCGTCATCCGTAGCATCATCATCCGCTTCTTTCTCCTTCTCTTTCACATCGTCATCATCATCATCATCATCATCATTATCGTCAGCGTCATAATCGTCAGCATTATCATCAGCATGATCATGAACATCATCAGCATGATGATGATCATCATCAGCACCAGCACCAGCACCAGCATCAGCCATCATCACCATCATCATCAGCACCATCATCAACTGCCAACGCCCTCCTCTTCGCGCGAAGAGCTTTTTCCCTACCTAGGCTCTTCCTAGAAGGGTTTTTACTGTCTTTGCTTAAGGGGCCGGGCAGTGCAAAGCGCCCCCGGCGGTTCCCCAGGTCCCCTGGGAGCCCAGCAAAAGCAACAGCAAAGGTAAAAGCAAACGCGCGGCTCCCCCAGTTGCGCTCCCTGGGTGCCAAGCAGAAGCAAAAGCACAGGCAAAAGTGAAGGCAAAAGCGAAGGCAAAGCAAAAGCATAGCATGCATAGCATAGCATAGCATAGCGCAGCATAGCATAGCGCAGCATAGCATAGCGTAGCATAGCATAGCCTAGCCTAGCCCAGCAAAGCATTGCGCAGCATTACATAGCATAGCATAGCATCTCATAGCATAGCAGAGCAGAGCAGAGCATAGCATAGCATAGCGTAGCATACCGCGGCACAGCATCCACTATTGCTGCTGCTGATATATATATATATATATATATACATATATATATACACACACATGTACTTATATGTGTGTTTGTGCGCACGTACGTTCCATGCATGTTGTTCGTCTGTGGGTCATCTTGAGCCCTTAGTGGGGCAGCGTGAGCCCTTAGGATTCACGAAGGTTTCGCACATGGCCCTGCGTGCTGGATAATGTGTTCTCGAGTGTCTCCGTTCCGCTGCCGTTTTTGGGCTCTGCCAAAAACTTGAAGACGGTTGTGATGCATGGCCCGCTCGCCCAAGTAGCGTCCGCCAGTTTCGCGGGCAGTTGGCTGGGGGGGGCCGCTCGCGCATGCCACTGTGAGTGTGCGTGCGCCTGCCACACCAGCTCCGACGACGGGGCCTTGAAGCTGCTCGAGAAGCAGCTCGACAGGTGCGGGCCCGAGCACCTGTGCCCGCAGTGCCCGACGTGCCCGCAGTGCCCGGGGCCTCCCCCTTGCCTGCCGCTTTGGCCTGCTGGGCTGGGCGGCTTCGTGGCGGGCGTCGCCACCACCGCGCTCGCGGCGCTGTTCGCTGGGCGCAGCAGGGGCCGCCGCGAGGGGGCCCGTCCGGCTCGCGCCGTCGGGCCGAGCCCGCCGTTGGGCCTCGCGGACGGGCCCGCGTCGTTCGTGCCGGCGCCGGCGCTGGCCGCTGCCCCGGAGCCGAGGGCTCCAGCGGCGCTGCCGGGTGCGGCGGCGCTTCGGGGCCGGGCCTCGCACCGCGGGGCCGGGGTGCTGACGTTCGGCTGAGGCCGCGGCCCGCGCGGACAGCGGCATGTCGTCGCTCGCGCTTGGGGCCTATGCGTTCGTGCAGTACAATGACCCGGCCGACAACGGGCTCTGGCATGAGCGCCTGATCTTGGGCTGGGTCACTGCATCGGAGTATACATTGTGATGACCCCAGATGGGGATGTCTTCATAGAGCAGCTCGACTCGGCGAGCGCGGACCTGTCAGGTATCCGTTTTTCGCCATCGTCGGGGGGCTTGCCCGCTGGGCTCGCGGGGGCGCCGCTCTACCGCTTCGCGGCGCAGCCTGCTGGGGCCGAGCTGACGGCGCTGCTCAACGAGGGGGCTTCGCACGCTCGCGTGGAGCGCCAGGCGAGGGGCTTGGCGCAGCCGCCCGGCGCGGGCATGGCCGGCGGCCCGGGCGGCGTTGCCCCGGCGGTGGTGCCGACCCGCTGCCGGTCGCGCCGCCCCCGGCGGCTGCCGGCGCGCCCCCGCCGCCTCCGCCCGCCCCGAGGGTGGCGCCGGCCGCGGGCAGCTGGGTCTTCGACGTCCCTGGCCCCTCGCACGCGATCGGGCAGGAGTTCCTCTTCCCTGCGGGCGGGCTGGACTTCGGGGGCCACGCGTTTGTCTCGGTGGGCGGGGCTATCACCACGGGCTGCTTCGTCCAGGCGGACACGAACCTCGACGAGTGGGCGGCGGAGCGGCAGCTCTTCCTGATGCAGGGCGAGCCGCGCCTGCTGCCCCGGCGGCAACCTGCGGGGCCAGTCCCATTCACCCGCGACGCGGCGTGGCTGCACAAGGACCCCCGGGTCGAGATCCACCTGAAGGGGCCGCCGACCATGGGGGACTCGGTGACCGCGTTGATGGCGCGGAGTCCGGGGGGCTTCATGTCCTCCCACGAGCGCTGGCTGGTCGAGAGCAAGGTGCCCGCAGCCAGCCGCTCGGCCCGTGAACATCGAGTGGTCTCGAAGGCGCTCGAGCTCGGACAGGCGGTGGGCGGCGTGAACCTGGCGAACCTCACCTGCATGGAGTACCTCAACAGGCGCCGCCAGTTGTTGGAGGAGGCCCACAAGTCCGACCCGGACAAGGGCAACTTCGAGGGCGCCCACCACTTCATGGGCGAGGATGACGATGGAGCGGGCACACTCGTCGCCCCGAGCCTCCGCTCGCACGTGGCCGGCGAGTTCGGCAAGGAGGCGGCCATCGAGAAGGAGAGACGCAAAGCACGAGAAGCGAAGAAGCCACCTCCTGGAGGTGGCGGGAAATCATGACCGACTTGAACCACGACGGCGCCTTTGCTGGCAGCGCCGCCGCGGCTTTGAAAGACCAGCTCTTTTCGGAAGAGGGAGTGGCCCCGCCTTGGGGCTGGCCGGACGCACAGCCGCCCGGCTTCAGGCCGCCGCCGGGACTTCCGAGGCCGCCCGGCTGCCTGGACGATCTCTTCCCCCTCCCGCTGCTCGACCCGCAGGAGGCCGATTTTGGCGGCTCCGGCCGCGCCCGCGCCGGGCAACGAAGGAGATGCATCCGTCGGGACGTGCTGAGTGACGCGAACGACTCGCTGATGGGCCTCAATGCTCTGTACGGCTGTGAGCGCTCGTCAGTTACCGCGCCCGCCGAGGCGCAGAGGCTGGCACAACGGAGGTTGCTCCGTTCCGCTCGCTCTGCCCGACAAGTTTTTCCAGACTTATTTAACATGAGTCCCCGTGAGGCTGCCAGTGAGCTTCTGGGATCGCGCCTCGATTATCAGGGATCGGTGACGACGGTCGCCCCGCACCGCGCCGATGCCCTGTCTTTGCCCCCCGCAGGACGACAGCCGGTCAGCCTTCAGGGCGTTCTCGACCCTGATGCCGCGCACGCGCTTGCTAACTTTGAGAGCCTCCTGGCCGAGCCTGAGGTTCGTCAGGCCCGTCGGGAGGGGGGCCCGGTCCGACCGTACATGGACGCTGTGCTTAAAAATGATCGGGCCCAGTATGTGCAGTTTTTGGGGCAGCTCGCGAGCTGCCATGTGCTCACCTCCACTAGGACTAAGAAAGCCTCTGTCACCCCGTTTTTCGTATCAAAAAAGACCGACAAGATTCGGCTCGTGTTAGACTGTCGTGAATCTAACCAGTTTTTTAAACATTCTCCCTTCGCGGAGATAGCTGCGGCGGAGAGCCTCAGCTCGTTGGAGGTCCCCGAGGGCAGGCAGTTGTACAGTGCATGTGCTGATATCCAGTGTGCGTTCTATCAGTGTGGAGATATAGGAGATCTATGCCAGTACTTCTGCCTCCCTAAGGTGACTCGGGCCGAGGCTCACCGCGCTGGTATCCCCGTGAAGGACCTGGGTAGCACGAGCGACTTCGTGTACCCGGCGATGCAGGTGCTTCCGATGGGTTGGTCCTGGGCCTTCTGGTTCGTCCAACGTCTTCACCTCGAGGTGGTGCGGAGGTCTGGGGTCCCTTCTACCATGGTTGCTACTGGATCCTGGCCTCTTCCGTCGGTCGTCGAGGGCCCAATCGAGGTCCCGAACTCGGACAACGTGAATGTGTTCGGTCTGGAGCCGGGGCCCGTGTTAGCAACGCGTGATCGCATCGTCGCCCAGTTCGAGGCGGAGGGTTTCGCCATGCATGATATCTCCGAGGTGTCGTCCGAGGGCGTCGTCCTGGGAGCTGACGTCGGAGGGCCGGACCCCCTCACCCGCCGCTCTCTAAAAAAGCTGCTGGTGGTCAGGAAAGCTCTGTTCTGGCTCGCAACGGGCCCGTGCGTAAGTGGCCGACAGCTGGAGGTTATCTTGGGACATTATGTTGCTGCCTGTCTCTTCTGCCGTCCAGGCTTTTCGATCATGCGTGCGGTGTGCGAGTTTGTCCGGGCTTCTTACGACAGGCCCAAGGTGCTCTGGAGAAGTTGTCGTTACGAGTGTTGGCTTATGGCGACCCTTTGCATCCATCTGCAGTCTCCCCTGTCTCTGCCGTGGGCGAGTGAGGTCATCGCTACCGACGCGTCCACCACCGGGATGGGAGTAACCGAGGCCAGGCTGCCCAAGGAAGTCGTAGCGGATGTTGGGAGATGGCGGGAGAGGTGGAGGTATCGTCGCTTGGAACCTTCTGAGTGGGCCCCCCGGGCCCGGGCCCTCGACGGCCTGGACGAAATCACCGTGCCATACACTGCCTGGGAGAACCCGTCGGAGCGCGGTTGGAAGCACGCTGTCGGTTTTCCCGAGGTCCCGTCTGAAGTCCTTGGAGCTCAGTTTCGTGTCGCGCACGCTGCGCCCTTCAGATATGCCGAGCACATCGGGGTCAAGGAGGGGCGGGCCGCTGTGTGGGCTTTGCGCCGTGATGCGAGAGATCCAGGGCGGCACTGCTCCAGGAGGTTGTACTTGATTGACAATTTCGGGGTCGTGCTTGCTCTGGAGCGTGGGAGGGCCACATCACACGGCCTCCTGCAGATCTGTCGACGGGTCACCGCTCTGTCCATAGCCTGTAGCATTTCGGCTCGTTTCCGTTGGATCGCTTCAGAGTCAAACCCGGCCGACGCGCCTAGTCGGCTCTGGGAGCGGCCGGACGCTCGGCCTCCCTGTGGGCCGTATGCTCGGCCCGCTCAGCGTGGCTGGAGGGACTACGCCCTGCCTGGAGGACAGCCACGGGCGCGCGTCGACCACCAAGGGGGTCCAGCGCGCCGTGCGAGAGGCTCGTGCTGTTCGTCTTCCAGCTCCAGCCGCGCCGAGGCGGGCCAGGCGGGAAAGGCCCGCTGCCACGCCGGCGCTGCGGCGGCGCCCGACGGCTGTGGCCGCGCCGGTGCCGCTTCGCCGCCCAGCAGCCGCAGGCGCGCCCGCGCCGATGCGCCGCCCGGCCGCGGGGCCCGGCGCTGCCGGGCTTCGGCCCCGGCTGGCGGCGGCGGTGGCGACGGTGCGGACCTCGAAGGTGACAGCCGCGATCCCGTCGGCGTGCGAGAACGCAGCCGTCGGTGCCTCAGCCAGGCTGTCCTACCAGCAGTACTACGCGGCCTTCCTGGCGTTCGTGGGACAGCCAGCCGACGACCTCGAGGCGCTCGAGGTGCAGGTCCTGGAGGTCCTCGACACGTTCCTGGAGGCGGGCTGCACGAAGGGGGACGCGGACTACCTGGTCGCCGCCGTCAAGGACGCGCTGCCGCGGGCGACGGGGCCGAGGGCCCTGCCTCGCGCGCAGCGCGCGCTGAAGGGGTACGGCAAGAAGGTGCCCCCGAGGTCGCGGGCTCCCGCGCCCCGCGAGGTGGTGGGCTCAGCGATCTCGGGACTCCTCTCGGTGAACGAGCGGGACGCCGCGCTCCAGGTGCTCACGATGTTCAGCGCGTTCATCCGCCCCGGAGCGCTGAGGAAGCTGCTGGTGAGGGACCTCTTGCGGCCCACGAGGGCCGGGGGTGCCATGGCGGTGTGGTCGCTCCTCCTGGCGCCGACGGCGGCCGATCCGCTGGCCCCGCTCGCCCACGAGGCGGACCGAGCCCGCTTCCTGACCAAGACGGGGACGTCCGACGAGGCAGCGCCGCTCGACAACCCGCCCTGGCTCGGACCTCTGTTGGCCCAGCACGCACGCGGCCGTCCAGGGCATCTGTCGTTGTTCACCACCCCCGCGGTCGACATGGCGGTGCTGTTCCGCAAAGTCACGGCGGCTCAGGGGCTGCAGGATGTGTGCCTATACCAGTTGCGCCACGGCGGTGCGAGCGAGGATGTCCTCTCGGCCCGCCGCGCCCTCGGGGAAGTGAAGTCGAGGGGGCACTGGAGCCAGGACAGCAGCGTCAAGAGGTATGCAAAGCCCGGGATGGCCCAGCAGCTGTTGTCGGCGCTGTCACCAGCCGCCCGAGCGCACGGCGAGGTCCAGTGGGCGAGGCTCGAGGACCTCTTCGCGGGGCGCCTTCGCTCCTCGTGGCCCGTGCAGTAGCCTCGATTAGGCCGCTGGGCGATTGGGGGCCGCGTGGTGGGCTGCTGCAACTACCTCGTGTCGTGCGTTTTGCCAATGCAGTGGGAGTGGAGCTGATGGCGGGCAGCCGCAGGTTGTCGGCGGCCTGTGTTCGTGCCGGGCTGCCCATGCGCTCATTCGAGTTCGCCGACTCTCCGTTGGAAGACGCGCTTCATCCTGATGTTTTTTCAGCTCCTCCTCGCAGTCGCTGGGCGAGGCCTCGAGTTTGTCTGGGTCGGGCTCGTGTGCACATCGTGGTCCCGGGCGAGGCGGAACCCCCATCCTGGAAACTGGCCGGGACCTATCCGCTCACCCGAGTGCATCTTGGGGCTCCCTGGACTCTCTGAGAAAGATCAAGGCAAAGTGAAGTTGGGTAATCGTCAGGCCGATTGGGCCGCCAGCCTGTTCTCTAGACTCGTGTCGCTTGGGGTCCCTGTCATTATTGAGAATCCCCAGGGGTCTATGTTGTGGCTGCACCCCCGCTTCCAGGCATTATTGACAAAACATAACTTTATTGACTGGGATCATTGTGCCTTTGGATCGTGTTACCGAAAGCGGACTCGGTTGTTGTATGCTAATTGTGTGCTCGACGGCCTTCGCTCGGATCGGTGTCACGGTCGTGGAGTATGCTCGTTCACACACCAGCCTCATGTGGAGATCGCAGGTAAAGATGAGTGTGGCATCTTTCATTCTGAGAAGGCTTCCGCCTATCCCGTCAGGTTCTGTGATAAATTCGCCCACATTCTCTGCCATCAAACTGTATAACAACAACACTGCCGCCCTGGGGTCCTTAACTTTTTAGCCGATTTGGTGTTTAAGTTACCCGCCCTCCCCCCCGGTTCATTTATGTAAATGGGCTTGGGGCTTGGAGGCGGCTGCTTGAGCAGCGCTGGGCCGTGTTCGATAGCATGCTTTATCGATCGCTCGCCTGATTTACTGAGTCTGCTGGCATCGGAAAATATGGGGACACGTGTTAAACACATGGCCCTGCGTGCTGGATAATGTGTTCTCGAGTGTCTCCGTTCCGCTGCCGTTTTTGGGCTCTGCCAAAAACTTGAAGACGGTTGTCCCTCCCTGCCCTCCCTTGCTCCTCTCCCCTGCTGGCAAGTGTGGCCCCTCGCTCACAGGGGCTTGGAGGCGGCTGCTTGAGCAGCGCTGGGCCGTGTTCGATAGCATGCTTTATCGATCGCTCGCCTGATTTACTGAGTCTGCTGGCATCGGAAAATATGGGGACACGTGTTAAACACATAGCACCGGCCGGGAGACATGACACCCGACGTGTTATCGCATGTCCAACATGTCTTTCTATATATGCAAATATATGTGCGTATATAAATATATACATAACACCCATGTGGAATGCTGCATGTGTGTGCGTGTGTGTGTGGAATGCTGCTACAATTACGACCTTGAGGAGAAGGAGGAGGGCGGCGGTTACCGCTCCTACTCGTGTTGTTTTCCTAGAGGCTCCAACTCCTAGGTAGGGTCGCACTGGGATGATTTGACACCAGCCGCTGCTACGGCAAGTGGGATTCGAATGGCAACGCCGCCGAGTTCATGCTGGTGATGCTGCTGGTGATCCCCATACCGCTCGTCTTGCTCCACCCGCTCCTCCTCCTCCTCCTCCTCCTCCTCCTCCGGTGAATAGAACCCGTGTAATACCCTCATATATACTCCTTATCCTCACCTCTCCTGCGCCTGGCCGTTTGGGCTCAGGTATTGGACTAGATCGATCAGACCTTTGATCGTGCAGGAGGAAAAGATATCCATCTTTCCCTCCTTTCCTCTACCAACGGATCAGGGGTTCTGTACCTTTGTACTCTAACCCCATACACAGGTTATCAGCCCTTTAAAGCTCACAGTTCATCGAACCCCGCGTCGCGATCTCGCACGCGGCCTCGATGGAACCCAAGCGGCGCATGCGCCGTAAGGGGTCCATCGGGGCCTCGCGTCCGAGCTCTCCGACGGCGCGACGGCTCGGTGATGAGTTGGAGAGCCTTAGTGCGGACTGTGTTGGTGTCCCAGGTACCCCCCCCCCCCCAGCTCCGACGGACCCGAGGCGCGGCTAGCTGCTGAACTTCACCGCCACGCCGCCCGCGGGGGGACAGGAGAAGGAGTAGGAGCAGGCAGTAGGGAGTTCCACGCGCCTACCTTCGATCCTCCATCTCCTCCACCGTCGGGAGCAATCCCAACTGCGTCGGGCGAAAGCCCTCGCTGGTCCTGATACTCCAGGGCGCTTTCGCGCTAACCGCCGATGGACTTCAGGCGCTGGCACGCCCAGCCCTGCGACCGTTCCTGTAGCGGAGCACGTAGCCACCTTCGAGGAACTCAGTAGACCAGTGGCGGCACAGCCGCAGACGCAGTACCCCAAGGTTTCACCGCATGAGACACCGCACACACACGGTCCTAGCCGCAGCTCGCCCTTGCGCAACCGTCGTGGGGCCACAGGCCCATACGACGAAAGGAGGTCGAGCCCGCGCACTGCCTCGCAGAGGCCATGCGCTCCTCGCGAGAGGGTGCAGAGGGAAGCTGACGCTCCCCACCTCTCCATCTCAGACGACCTGCCGGCGGTGACGTCCGCTGCAGGCGAGATAGTTGAGCTCGGAGACCAGGTTGAAACCTTCGTGTCCAGGCAGTACTCTGGACCACCGCAGAGCGTTCAGACGAACGCTGCCAACGCTGCTGCTCTACGCCAAGATCTTGACGGCGCCTTAGGGATCATTGATTCCAGGATCGCCGAAGATCGCCGCATCTTAGGTGAGCTGCAGTACCAGGTTGACCGTGAGATGTCACACTCAGGTGAACGATCGGCGACGGTCGAGAACCTGCGCAACTACCTCGCGCAGATGGAGCAACAGCTTGTGATCGTACGCGACACAGGCGTTTCAGCAGTCAGGATCCTCCACGACGAGATCCATGACCAGCTCCGCAACCGACCACCACCAGCCGAGGCCACCGACCTTGGCGACGTCCAGTCTCAGATCAACGATCTTCGCTCCCACGTGGACCACACTGCGGCGACGCTTCGCACCGAAGCACACGCCAACTCGTCGAACCTGATCGAAATGTTGCAAAATACTGATAGAGTTATCACGCAAAGGCTTGATGCGACCAACGCTGTCGTGCAGCCACTCGCTAACCGGATCTCTGACATTGAGCAGCGTTTTCCTGGTGTACAGGACGCCCTGGCAGAGTTGCGTGTCGGACGAGCCCAGACTGCGCAGCTAGATTTTCCTCCCACGGTTTACGATTTCGCCCGCCTCACTGACAGGTTGCAGGAGGTTGAGAAGGCGGCGGGCCACACGCAGTTAGAGCTCTCCCAGGTAATTCGTGAGAGAGATACTGAGAAGGTACGTGTTGAGGGGCACCTCGCACGTCTGGAAAGTGAGTTGGAGGCACGCGGCGCCCGTCTCCGAGCCTACGAGCAACGACTCGACCGGTATTCACAACGCTCTCGGGATACTGATGAGTACACACGCCAAAATGTGGCCCAGATACACGATGACATGACGAACTGGACAAATCAGCTGATTGACCACGCCAACGACACCACACTTCACCTTCAACCTGCAATCGACCTGCACAGGCCGACGGCAGCGTCCGCCGAAGCACCGCCGGCTTCTGCAGGACAACAACGACGTACGCCACCAGGAGCAGCCTCCGCGGCAGCTTCAGCACAGACACGCCACGTGTCTCCTTTGCGCACAGATCCAACTACCGACGGTGTACCGATACCCTCACAACCATTGTCTGCGGTTTCGATCAATACTACTACTCCTATCAAGGAGTCAGACACCGTCCGAGTCCCTGTCTTGCCTGAGATCACGCAGCTGCTTGAGTGGCAGCAAAAGGTACGGAAGAACTTTGGAGCCGCCTCAGGGCGACCTTCCAAAGCATATGCCTTCCTATGCGTGGCTGAACAGCCCGAGTGTACCTTCGAGGACTTACAAGACAGTGGAGACTTCGAGAGCATCGATTGCAAACTCGCTACTGCTCTCAGCGACATCTTATCCTCAGACTTGCGCTATCAAATCAGGCTCATCGAAACCAGAGAGCACAAACAGGACGCATGCTCAAAGGGCGCCAGATCTACTGGCACATCCTACAGTCCTACAAAGTGACAGAGGTTGATGACGACCTGCACGACTCCGAGCGCCTCAAAGAACTGAGGATGAGAGATGATGATTTGCAACGTTTCATTACTGACTGGGACGTTTTACTATTGGAGTGCCGAGAGGCACCCGATCCGAAGATCTTGGAATCTCTGTTTCGCGCACAGATTCGCAGACATGCCTGGATGAAACAAGATATGTACGAATACCAGCGCATGAAGGTCAGCGACCCGAATCGTACCTATGATTGGCTCCGACAGCGCGTCCTGGACGTACTGGAGCTACTGGAGAAGAATCAAAATAAGTTACGGTACGAACACGAGACTCTTTCTCAAGTACATGTATGCGCCGCCTGGAAGAAATGCAATTGTCGCAATGGTGAGCGATGCAAGGCTTTGCATACCTTCTCCAGGGATTGGAGGAGCACCAGATCCTCCAGAGCATCGACCGCTGGTGGCAACTCCCGCCGCAGCGTTTCAGCCCCTGCGAATCCCAATAAACCAGCATCGAAGCCATTTTGCTTCGAGTTCGCCAAGCGCAACACATGCACCAGAGGCGACAAGTGCAACTTCCCACACATGGCGCAGTGCACAGATTTCGCACAGAACAAGTGCACCAAGGGCGACACATGCAAATGCGCTCACCTGGCACCTGGTGCGAAGACACCCGAGCGAAGCCCGAGTCGCCCTCGAACCTCCAGTCAGGACAGTCGTGGCCGACCACCGCCCCGCGGATCAGGGAGCCAACGCTCTCCACAACGCGGGGGGGTCCGCTACGCAAAAGACTCACCATAGACGTGACAACCGACGCCAATACGACCGATCTCGATCATCCTCCAGGAGGTCTCCAGACTCTCGCAGCCAGCCGAGA